ATCTGATTTACGCAATTTCTCACAAAGAATTCATAGATCACAGCAAAATTTGTACGCGTTTTTCGAAGTCAACGAGTTTTGATTATGAAGCATCTGCTACCTGATTGGCGATACCGTCAAAATCTTGAATTTATGACCAAGACTGATTCTCTGTTGCAGTGCCTGATGCCATGCCTCGTATAAATTTTTGGCGCATAGAAAATTGTCCTTCACATTGTAATGCATATCCCACCAGCTGGTACCAAATTTTGGCTTCGTTTGATGTCGTCATAGTACTCTTTTAATGAAGTTATTTGCCCAGTAATCATAGTTGGGGGAGGGAAAGCATATGAGGAGAATTGCTCTAGAAAAGAATTACCAGAAGTCTCATTAACACTTATAACTAAAACGGAACTCAGAGCTAAGAAAACTCTCATATATATTAGTAAGTTTTGTTCATCACTATAAGCTTCTATTGTATAAAGCTCTTGACTTTTGCGCATTTGTAATTGCACCTTTGATCGGCTTTCATTTGTCTCCGTGCTCATTAAAATCACTCTTGTGGTCCAGTGTCTCAGAGGCTGTCTTTGCGATTTGTGACATTCCTGTTTCTGTACTGCTCAGTTTAGAATTTTAGATTTAGAATTGTGCTGTAGTGAAGCTTTCGACTATATTAATATGGATCGTGAAATTTACTGAGGCATGATGACGTGTTTATGCTTAGTACAATGTGGTACTTGAATACGGAAGTCTCCCTGTTAAGAAAGGCTATATATTTTTTGTAGATGGTGTTGAGATCGCTTAAGTGTTTGTGTCAGCTCCTTATATGACATGTACAAATATTTCACCCTTTACTGCTTTTTGTTCGTTACTTATCGCTCCCACTGTTAGAAATTTAACACCATGAGCTCACAGGTTGCCGTTACCCTAGTTGTTACTAGGCACTGTGAATGTTCGAAAACATCTGTCAGATACTAGCATTGCTTAAGTCGGTGGGAAACTATTTCACTCAATATTTAATTGACCAACCCCTCATTTGCAATAAAGAGAGATTGTTCAGTGAATACGGCGTATAACTCAGAACCAAGAATTTGTGGGTTCGAGCTTCAGTTCGTTCATCGCTTTCCTTTCTTCTGAGGTTGACACGTGCGTACTTCTCTTCTGAAAGGAAGCCGCAGACTGAGCATTATGCTTGCCACGTAATTGCTGTAAATTCTTCCTTTACAACAAGGCGCTCCTGGCCAATAGCATGGGGAATGGAGATCGGCGCTCCACCATCTACTTTGCGAAAATGAGAGCGCCAGTAGTGGCCCTATCATGAAAGTGTCGGGAACACCGACATCCCAGTGTCTGCAAACTTTCGCATTCCTTTCCCGTTGCATTAACCTGTTTAGTGTTTCAAATAACAGTAGAATGAAAACCTAGAAGAGAATGTGAAGCGTTAGTAAAATTGCAGTGATGGGCGCATGTTTAAAATTTATTTGTTTCTAAACCTAACTGATTGGGCGATTTGCATCGAAGGAATATGACCATCATCGTGTCTAATTGGTCTTTTTCCGTAACAGTAGGATAAATCTATAAATTAAAGTTAAAGCAGCGGGAGCTTGAGTTTTCTAATTATTACTGAGTCACAGCATAGTAAATAACTGCCGAAAATAAATATTTTCATCGTAATTACATGCCTACGTTTACAAAAACATATTTCTATTTAAACCTTTTAATTTGCTACTGAATCTTGACTATGTCAACAATGTTCTGCCGTCATGCAGATAGTATTATAATATATAAAATAGTTAAAAATTTCTCTCGTCTAGAAAGAGTAGGTAGCCCATGATTTTCATAAATTGTTATTGTTCATATGCTGGATGACGCTTCATCGCATAAAAATCTTGTTCACAAAGTAGTCAGCGATTCAAGTATGTTATACCACTGTTCATGGCAACAGAGAGTAAAACGTGCGCTTTTCGTCAGATTATCTATGCAACATACGTGATCCAGTTGTTGACAGCTATAAAAAGTTAGCGGCCGCTCAGGTGTCAACAACTGGTGGTGCGAATATTAGCGTCTTGTAAGCTTTCGATGTTTGACGATCTCTTCTCGGCAGACTGTTTCCTCAGAGATGTTATTGTTCACTGTTTTTCACCTGTTTGTATCCGCCGTTGATATTACCAGTGTAATGATTTCTCTCGAGGCTGTTGCTTAACCTGTTAAAGGTAGTTGGGCATGTTCTATATGTTAAGTTTGGCAACTAATTTGAATTTTTCAGTCTTAAAATACTCATATCGGCTCTTGGTAATTACTTTTTTACTTGCATACCGTAAAAAATATTTTCGTTTCTTTTGTGAATATTTGAGTATGAATGGAATGTTTAGGTCGAGTCTGTTTGTAAAAATGGCTTGGAAGTTGGAAATTACGAGTTTGGTTGCCTTGGCAACCCTGCCTACGGTAAGTTACATGCACTTTTCTTCAACTGTTTTCTGATTGCTGCATGTTGTTCAGGCATTTACCTCAGTCGCTTCTCAGATGTGGTAAATCCCTTGCCTCCATCGAAAATTTATTCGGGCACGTTTGTCATTTTCCGGGTTTTAATGGTTTGTTTCCATAATTTTCTGTGCGTTTGACAATACTGTTTTCTGTATGTAGCGCTGTTTAGGGTCGGATCGCTTCGGTTGTCCTTGGAGCTTCTCAGATGCAACCGCTTCCGTGCTTTGACTGTCATATTTGTAAAACTGTTTCGTCTCAGCGGCTTTATGATTCTGCTCAAGTACGAACAATTTTTCTATTTAATTTTGAAAATGTCATGATCATTTTTAAAATCGTGAACATTGCGAAACCGCATGTAAAGTTTATTTTGCGCATGTTCTCCAGAAATAAAGAAAGAAATATTTGAGAAACGTACTCGGCTAAGACGAAGATGCGGTACACCCCAACCAGCCAAGTCAGCATGTTGAGTTATGACCAAATCCTTCAAAGTGAAATCCAGCTGAAACTAGGCCCTTATTCCGCAAAGTCTAGGTCGCCGATGCGAAAGCGGCTGCTGGTCAGCATATAGCGAAAGTAAAATGTGCTATGAACACCCAAGTTACGGTTTTGAGCTACTACGGTTTACTAACACGGGTAACATACAATTGCAGGTCACTTCTAGGCGAAGCAAAGCATAGATTGCTGCAAGGGGACTTAGTATAATCAAGTTAAACATTGTAGGATTTAGTGCAGTTAGACAAATGTACGAGGGTCTGTTAGAGCTGAAAAGTGGCCACCTAGAGTTATGCAGATTATAGGCAGATGGAAGAGCGGGATGAATCTGATTCACTGTCCATGGAAGATTAAAGTATGATATACTATAAGTGGAGGGCAATTCAAAGGGATGTCGAAGACTGGTTCTGAGAGTTTCAAAGAGATGCAAGTGGTAGTGACTCCAAGTATAATAGCCAACAAACCTGATGGTGGTGTTTTTTTGCAAACATGACAGTAAGGTTACCTATGGTTTATGCCCTCAGCAGTGAAGTTGTCAAATTCTTTACAGTTTAGTGACAGGTCTGAGTTTCTATTTTATTAGAGGTTGTTTTGTTGTTGCAGATGTACCTATATGAATACTGTGATACGGATCTCCTCTCATCGCTGTGCCGGTTCTACCCCGTAGCGGTGATTCGTTACAATGGTTTGTTACGCAACATCCCTCCAAGCTATACCATGTGGGTTGGTACGTTTTGTTTCGGCGAAGAGTTCACCTTCGAGGACGCTCAAATTAATGTGTTTTCAGCACGAACGAAATCATTACGATTGTAAGTGGTTCGCTTTGTTCACTATTGGATTTTGTAGAATTGCTTTATTACTGTTATAGTTTGTTTGTATATTTTTCAATGCTTATGAACACTTGTTTGCATTGCTAACATAATGTCAAACGTGGGATGTCAGTTATAGAACGAAACTGTTGTCCATGAAAGCGATTACGTCCATACGTTCTTGCTTAGAAGAAAGTGATCTCA